TAAGTGACGGGCTTGGCGTCAAGGGGCTAGACGATATCAGTTATTAGCAAAGGCCGGTTCATCCTCTTCCTCTTGTTTCAATTTTTCCGTTACTCTATCAATTCGAGAAACTCGTTCTAATTCTTTCCGGATTTTAGAACAACCAGGCTTTTCTCAGTCATCATTAAAATCTATTTTTCGAAATCCTTCTGGTAAATATTCCAAACCAGAATCTACTTCAGTATTGCCAATATTTAATCATTTTAGGCTTTTTAAATTTTGGAGAGGTTGAAGGGAGCCAGTAAAACGGTTGTAGATGCTTTCTTTGAACTTTTCCTTGTCATGGTTATCAACAAATAATTTTTCTAAGTTGGTGAACTTACCGAGAAAAGATGCTACTTTTCAGTTTTCTCCATTTTTATGTAATTCTAAAATTGTTTCTTGCATGTGGTTTTAAAGAATTTAATTATCTCAACTACTTACCTAGGAGTTTAGAGATAATTCAATACTCTACTGAATTAAGACCAGATTGTAAATTAACTGAAACTGTTCCTTTATTAGATAAACATTTTGGTGAATTTGGTCGTTGTTCTAAATGTCTCCAACGCAATACTAGTGAAAAATGATGCCAGCCTTGTGCGGAAAAAGAATGAGAGCAATTGTCAGGGCAAGAATGAGTAGAGAAGTTTTTGGAACAACAAAAAAAAGGAAGATACGATGATTTAAAATGAATTCCTTACGAACAATTTACTGATATTGAATACTTAGCCGAGGGTGGATTTAGTAAAATGTATAAGGCAAAATGAGATAGTGACAATAAAACGGTTCTTCTAAAAATCCTTAATAATTCTCAAAATATTACTCTAGAATTTTTAACTGAAATTGCTAACGCTAAGTTGGTTGACAACGGCGATAATGTCATAAAATATTATGGCATCTCCCAAGACCTTGAAACTAAGAATTATATAATGGTGATGCAATATGCAGAAGAGGGCAACCTAAGACAATATTTACAGCAAAAAAATAAAGAATTAAGTTTGAAAGATAAACTTGACAAATTAAGAGATATTATCAATGGATTAAAAGGTATTCACCAGCAAAATTTAGTTCATCGTGACTTGCATAGTGGGAATATATTAAATTCTGATGGTAGAAGTTACATCGCCGATTTAGGTCTATCCCAATCAGCCAATTACCAAAAACAAGAAGGTCAAATCTTC